ATGAGGGTTCTGAATTGTTACTTTCTTTTCTTACTCTCCTGTAATTGGGTGAGGTGGGGAGAGAGTGACATGTTTGTTACAGAAGAAAGGGTCCAGCACTTCCTGGAGTGGTAACACACCTGCTACCCTCCTGTTCTCTGAAAAAGACACCTTTCTTCAGATAATGGGGCATGTGCACAGCTGCCACGTATCCCGGGATATAGCCAGAAGCCTTTACTTCAGCTCTGAGAATTCTGTGATACTATGCATTGAGACCACAGGGTTTTACAAGAATGCTCCTCATGAAAAGCTGTGTGCCCACAGAAATGAACTCATTGATTCCAAAGTCGAGAGAGGCAGTGGCAATAGTCACATAATCCTGATGCTTTAGGTCCAGAATTTGATTGTCAGTGTGGTCCCTGGACCAGCAGCATAAGTGTCACCTTAATAGATACGCAAACTCTTTTTTATATTTTCAGTTTTTGTTTTTTGAGACAGGGTCTCACTCTGTAGTCCAGGCTGGCCTTGAACTCACAATGTAGCCCTGGTGGGCCTTGAACTCTCAGCAATCCTCCTGAGTGCTGGGATTACAGCTAAGCACCACCACACCTGGCTCTAGATATGTGACCTCTTGTGACCTATCCCATATCTACAGAATCTGGGAGTCTAGGAATGGGGCCCTGTGATTTCTTTTAAGCTCTCCAGGTTATGCTGACGCATGCTAAGGTTTGAGATGTGGAATAAGAATGAAGGAACTTGACACCACCCTCCAGAGGAAGAACATGGATCTCTGAACATAAATCCCAGCAAATATTCATGGATTCCACTTGAATGAACTAAAGTTCACTTGTTTCTACACTTGTGCTAGGGTAATAGCTCTCATTGTCCCTAACACATTAGAAACCCAGAAAGCAGAGCTTTTGCAGAATAACCCTACCTAGGCCTGGATTCTGCCCTTCTAAATTAAAATCTCAGGAATTGTTCTGAGCATCTGTTTTTAAAAACACTGTCTCATAAGATTCCAATGTGCTACTAAATGGTCAAAAACTGAAATCCTTCACACTAAAATCAAGAACAAGACAAAGATGTCCACTATCACCACTCTTGTTCAATATAGTTTTGGAAACATTAGC